AGTAGCAAGATGGTTTTGGACTACTGTAATCAAGTAGGACAATCTAGCAGGTAACCGTAATGGACTGGTCCTCGTCGTAGTTCTAGGCAATAGGTGTAGGCAATAGGTAATGACTATAAGCATACAATAGGTGTTGTCAATCATTTTCCCATTGTCCTCCTCACACTTTGGAGTTCAGAACTTTTGACTAGTTGTCAGTCAAAACTAGAGAGCCAAATTTACTCTGCTATTTAACCCATATCTTTGAGGTAGAAAAGACAGATTCAGGCCTTTCTGAAGGACATTTGTGTGAAAGTGAATGTAATAGACGAGCCTTGAATTTGAAATTGGCTTGCAATTTCATTTTTTGTGCTGATATATATATATATATATATATATATATATATATATATGTATATATACAGGAGTTGGACAATAATTGGAACAGTTGCAAAATCCACTCCTATATTTCAAAGACCTATTATATTAAGAACTTTAACTAAAACTTTGTAATTGCGGGTTATATCTATTGTAAATATGTTTATTTATCTAATTTACTGTCTTTGTCTTATTTATTTTTAGAATTTAGTAAAATTTAAGCTAAATCTGTGACCTTTCTGAGTTTGAAAAAGAGCAAATTGTTGGAGCTCACATGGCAGGAGCATCGATCACTAAGGTTGCTGAAATGTTTGGTTTTTCAAGAACTACCATATGAAGAACACTGATGCAATTCGAGAAACAGGGCAAGACCTCTAGCAACTGTAGCAATTCGGGCCGGACTTGCAAACTTACTGGCAGGGACTGACGTGCATTGAAACATAATGTGGCAAAAACTCATCGAACAAATGCGGCCAAAGTGACTGCTGAGTTGAATAACCATCTGAATAGTTCAGTTTCTACTAAAACTTCACCATGAGCTCCATGAGGCTGCATATCATGGAAGAGCCTCTGTGAGGAAACCTCTTCTCTCCGCTCGCAACATTCAAAAGAGGTTGAAGTAGTGCAGAGATCACAATGCCTGGTCTGCAGACCAATGGAAGCAAGTCATATTCTCAAACAAGTCCAGTTTTCTCTTTTCCCAACTTCAGGGCGAGTTTATGTGTGGAGGCAGCCCAAAGAAGCTTACAACCATGACTGCCTCCTTCCAACAGTGAAGCATGGAGGTGGATCAGTGATAGTTTGGGCTGCCATATCATGGAAATGTCTCAGTCCAATAGTTGCCTTGCATGGTAGAATCAACATCAAAGATTACCTGAACATTTTTGGGAGATCATGTTCATCCAATGGCCAAGACTTTCTTCCTTGATGGTGACTGCATCTTCCATGATGACAATGCTTCAATACATACTGCTCGAGTGGTTAAAAATTGGTATGAAGAGCATAAAAGTGAGCTAGAACACATGGAGTGGCCTCCCCAATCAATATTACTGAACATTTGTGGTGCATTTTGGAGCGACAAGTTAGGAGCTGCTATCCTCCACTGTTGTGTTGTAAAGAGCTGGAGAAGACTGAAAATTCCTCTAGATGAAGTCAGGAAGCTGTATGATTCCATTCCTAGATGTATTTGTGTTGGAATGTGTCATGAAAAAATAAATGATTTTGTCTCTTTCTCTCCTGCTGTCGTAGCGACAGGCACAGTCTCCACTTCTGAGACTAAAACTGTCCTCCTTCTCATTCCAGCCCTTTACATAGAGCTTGGTAACTCACCTATGCAAAACACCAACAAGCCAACTACCAATCACAGTTCCCACGCCTGCCCACCTCCACTCGCTTTGGGGGTGTCAAGTTGACCGACCAACTCATTACAATATTAAAGCTGTCTGTGAGGCTGAAGGAGGACCAACTCCAAATTAAATAAATTTTCTTTGAATTTAACAAGTGTTCCAATTATTTTGTCCAACCCCTGTATATATGTTTCACTTTATAAGAGAGACATAATATGTCTACTTATTTTTATACTGATCCTTTTCGAGTTGTCCAGTCAATTTAAAAATTATGGTGCCTTCCTTGAAGAATTTCATCTTAAGATCAAGAAAAATGATTAGACAACTGCAAAGGATCAGTATAAAAATACGTATGTCTATATTATTCAATGAAACATGTTTGAATGAAGATATGCTGCCTAAATACATGCACACACACACGCACACAAACATATATATATATATATATATATATATGACAAAGTGGAAAAGGTTTTTGTGTGACTCGCTTCATCCCTTAGGACTTCATAAGACTAGGTTAGCTTGATGAAGTCCTAATGAATGAAATGCATCACATGAAAACTTTTCAGACTTTGTCATACATCTTTCCCTCAAAACCGTTCTTGATATATAAAAATTTATGTATTGTTATCTCATATATATATATATATATATATATATAAAGTATAGGATTGGTGTATATGGAGTTAATTCCAATAACCAACAAATAATATTCTTAAAATAGTGCTCAATACAGAGTAGAGCAAATATAATTATTTATTCGAAAATTATAACATAAATCACTACAAAAATAGCCATTTTGTTTCAACACTTCTGATGTCTTATCAAGTGATGGTGTTGAATGTATAATAAAGGGTTTTTATTATATATTCAACACCATCACTTGATAAGACATCAGAAGTTTTTGAAACAAAATGGCTATTTTTAGTGGTTTTATAACATATTTATGTTATAAATTTATATAAATATATATTATATATATATATATATATATATATATATATATACACTGAGAGAGAGAGAATAGATAAACAAACAAAGAAATCAGTAATATAGGAGGGATAGTGAAGAGGTATGTTGCTTAGAAATACAAAGGATAGAAAGCTATGGAGAATCATTATTGCTTATGACTGAAGGGATACAAAAATTGACTAATCAAGCATATTAACAGTGTAATAAATAGTCAACTAAATGTAGTGGATGAGTGTGAAGTGTACCAAATTCTTGTATAGTGTCTTGCATTTCTGGAAAAGTCATAAATCCATCACTGTTTCCTCTAACTATCAGTAAAATAGACTGGGTTTTCTAGCTTTGGGTGTCAACTAATCTACAGGAGGAGAAGTATAAATCCAAGACATAAGGCAAGGAGAAATCCCTTGAATATTTTTCCCAAGAAGTCATTTTGATATGGCATTTTTTAAAATGGTATGGATATGTGGATAATGAAAAAGTTATTGTCACATAAAAGGAATAGGCATGCCAAGTTCAAATTCATGTCTAGTTTGTTGTATTGGCTTTTACACAAATATCTTTGAGAAAAGCATAAATTCATCTCTTCTGACTCCAACGTCAATTGTATCTATCTGTTTGAACCCTCAATATCTGTCTTTATTTCTGAGATGAGGTATTATGTACATTATTTACATTATTCAGACTATTGTCCTCATCTTTGTTGTCATATTTATTACAATGTTTCAGCCATTGTACGCTCCAGCCTTCTTCAGGTGGTTGTAATGTGCAGTTCTAGGGTTCAGTTCGACATTCCAACCCCCTGAAGAAGGCCGGAGTGTACAACAGCTGAAACGTTGTAATAAATATGGCTACAAAAATGAGGACAATAGTCTGAATAATGTAAATAATGTTTGAACCCTGTTCTTTCATTGTCCCGTATCCTGAATAAAGTTTTTGATTCTTTTACTCTCAGTAACTCCTTGCATCTTAGTAGCTTTATTGCTTTGCTTGCAGTGAAGTGATTAAAAAGAATGAAAAAACATATGGATTAAATTACAAAGCAGAATTGTCTTTCCATCATTGGCTGGCAGACTATCTAGGAGAAAGACAAATATGAATTTTACAATCATGGAAAAGTCACTCAACTTCACTTTCCCAAGAAGTCATGGTGATTCACAGACATTCAAGAAAAGGAGTTCCCCTATCCAGAAACTGTTACAAGAGATGAAATAACTGTTCATATTTGCATATTGTTTCTGATATTTTGATCATATCAAAGTGCATTCCAAGTGGAAACTTTCAGCAATATACACTGAAAATTCTCAAACAAATCAGATATTTTTTAACCTATTAATGCTCAACTTATAAGCTGGTATTAATTATAAAAATAAAGATCCAGTATTAATTATATGACATTTTGACATTTTTTTTGTCTTTGGTCAGTAAGTATTATATCCTGATTGCTTCTGTCTAGACAGCAAAGGAAATGACTATTATTTCCTTAAAACTTTGCGGACATCGATGTTTTGGAATTAACCTATTTTCTAGACACATTCCAGATATATTCAGCACTGAGTTGCTGAAGGACAATTTTCTAGAACTTTCAAGAAGTATCTAAAAGTTTCAAGAATTTCTAAAACATTCTGACTACCATGATGGGAGACTATATTTATTTATGATTCATGAAAGTAATTTATAGTATAAGTGTAAATCAGGAAAAAATACTCATTTCTAAATTTTTGTGGTCTTTCTTGTGTGATCCTAGAATAAAAATATGCTGATTTTGAATCATATCATTTTGTTCTTAATTTGTATGAACAAGAATGTTTACATTCACCAGTTTTCCCAATGGGAATAGATAAATTAAGAAATATCATTATCCTATCATAAAAGCAAAGTTTGAAAAAAATAGCCATTTTTCATAGTTTCTAGGTAAGCAAATAGGAAATAACATTTGCTACCAAGGGACAAAAATTGTATTACACAGTGTAATAGGTTTTAAAAAAAATGTCTGGTATTATTTATTGGTTTATAAAAAAATATCCAGTTTTAATTGTAAGTTAAAAATTCAGCTAATAAAAGTTTCTAGCTATAACCTCTGAATGCCTAGCATCCCATTTTTGGGATGTCTGGGAAACAAATGGGTTAAGTTATTTTCAGGGTACAAACAAGTATTTGTTTGGGCGACAGTGGAATGATTTTTTTTCTACAGGCTGTTGTAGAGAAAGCACTGGAGAATTTCTTTTTTGTTGATCAAAGAATATATGTTTCCACGCATTGAAAACTCTTTACCATGTTACCTGAAGCTGCCATCTTTTTTTATTTTATTCCCTGTTTTTTGTTTAGGAAATTGGAAAACTGTCAGCTGGAGAAGAGAGTGAACAAAAACCATTCATGACTCCTGAATTTAACTCAAGTATGATCACTTCAATTACAAGAGACCAAAAGACCTGGAATGACTATGACACTGGACATATCAAGGAAGCATCAGGTAGTATTAATTTCATATATTTTGGCGATATCAAACCAATGTGTGGGTTTGTTTTGTTTATATAAGATCTTATTTAAAATGTCAATATCAAGAAATTGCAGGCAGTTTAAGTTTTTAATTTTGTTGACGGAATTATATATGTTTACGAAGGGGAGAGGAAATATAAAAATGTAAAAATTGGCATAGTTTACACTAGTTTCCTCAGACTCTGCCTGGCTTTATTTTTTTGATGATTTTCTATTTTCAAGAGGAAAAATTGACAATCGCCATATACCCAAACAAGGATGAAATGTTAAAAGAAAGATCGGAGGTGTTATCTAAGTGCAGACACCTTAGCAATTATTTGTTGTGTATGTACAAACCTGGATGAAAATATATCTTTTTTTCGTCTTTTCCATCCTCTGTACCACCCACATCACAACTTCTAGAGTTTGTATATAATGGTGGTGGAGTCAACTAAAATCTTTCATTCTACCTCCCTGAGGGGACCTAATGGTCAAAACCTAAGTAGCATGATAGCTTGAATTTTGGTGTTCCTGATTATATATATATATATATATATATATATATTTTAGGACATTTTTTTATGTTTATACATTCTTTTTATAGATACAGATATTTAAGTAAAGTTAGAGAAAAAAATGTCTTAAAATAATTGTCAGACTTTGTCCATTTCATAATGTGTGACATCAATTGTTTACATTTGGATCAGCATCAAGCAGATATGAATGTATGAGAGAAAATCATGGAGAATTGTAGTTTAAAAACAGTAAAATCGACCTTGCTAACCGAAACACTCCTCTGTGGCTCAATCAGGCTATATGACAGTTCCGTATAGGATACAGTTTCGATTCCTGTCGGAGGACGCATACTTTCTATGAAAATTTCTCAGACATTCAGGCCGGTAAATTTTGTTAATAATGTTTATTATAAACAGAGCTTAAGTATTTGTATCTATAAAAAGAATGTATAAACGTAAAAAATGTCTTAAAATAATTGTCAGGCTTTGTCCATTTCATAATGTGTGGTGTCATATATATATATATATATATATATATCTTTCATTAAATATATATCATTATATCAAACATACCAGGACCTCCTTGAGTAGATGCATCACGTGTCACTTATCAGACCAAAATGTCATAAAAATTCATCTATCAACCCACAATTTATGAAAACCCTTAAGAAAAATTCCGGTTGAAATCACTAAAAGTCTATATAAATCACATTATCAGAAACATCTAGCTGTTAGAGATGCCCAGTGTATCAAACATTTCTCTCCTACTATGAACCTCACATTACTTAACAGTGGAAATAGGATGTTAAAAGTTTTTTAAAAATAGAAAGATGCTCACAGAAATTTCAATCATGTGCAACATGTGAAGGCTAGAAACGACCATTCCTATTCAAAACAATATAAAACTAAATTACAACATAACAGTCAAAACATGAAGAAAAACTAATAGCACCAGAGACAAAACACCCATGAAGATGGCTATAGAAGTGGCCAAAAGTGCTTGGGACAATGAAAATTATGGTAAGTTTTTGTACTCCCTTACTCCTACAAAATGGAAAAAACGTAAGAATGTTGGAAAAACTTCCTTGTCTGCTGTATTTGATGAAAGATGTTTGAAAGAAAAGGTTGCAGGCCAAATATACATTAATATATATATATATATATATATATATATATATAAGGCAGGATGTGTGTGTGTGTGTGTGTGTGTGTGTGTGTGTGTAACAAATACACAGCTGCAATTTTCGATGGATTTGCACCAAAATTTACATGCACATGCTCCAAGTTAGCGGGAAGGCCAAGACAGACTTTGCATTTCCCAACTCCCATTGATAGTGGAAATAATCCATTTTTTCATGCTTCTACGGCAGTTTTCATGTAGTTTGCAGCCATTTTGTACTGGCCAGAGTGAGAGCCAATAGCTGGCTGCCATGAATAGGCAGGAAGATTCTATTGGTCAGCGTGAGAGCCAACAGCTGACTGACATGAATGTTAACTAGCATGCTAGCATGCAAAAAAATTCGATAGCTGTATTCATCACAAGTGGGAAAAATTTAAATCTGCATGGCACTTTACTCCAATTGGCACATTCACTTGCTTAAACTCAACATTAATTCTGATTCCGCAGAACTGGATTCAGTGTGAAAAAGTATTTGTTGTTAACATTTTTTTTTCATTCGGTTTTTCCAGTTATGAGTCCTTTTTTAAAGCTGATCATTTTGTGTTCATTTTGTTTAGTTCTTTTTTTGTAACAGATTTAATGTTTAGTATAGAGCTTAGAAAAAATTTGCAGTGTGAGATAGGCAAGAAGTAAGGCATGTAGCAGCATCAGCACGGCAAAAGGCACACCTTTAAAGGCAAGGAATGGCAAAAATATTTTAAGTCAAGTGATAGCGATTGCTGTATGAGTCGTGCGATTTTTGAATCATGCATGGGCAATGCCAGGCCATGCTACTAGTATATATATATATATATTCTTATTACTTTAAATGCTAAATTTAGTGGATAAACATGGTTGAGTAGATCTCCCTGTTACTTTTAAAGAGTGTGATCTATGTCACCAGCTTGTGAATTTGAGAGTCTTAATAAAAAAGATACCAGAAACTACATTTATTCCTAATGTATATTCCATCTCACATCTCACTATTGATTTGTGAGTCAGTGTAAAAAAGAATTCTGCTCAAAAATTATTTTCTACTGCTTCATTTTTAAGAGCATTTTAATTGATAAAATGCTTGATTGTATTTATGTTAGTAATTTTTATTTGTTTTTTTCTTTTTTCCCTTGCCCCCACCCCTGAAAAAATGGGCCTTAAATTCTTAGTATTTAATAACAACTTCTTAATTTCTCCCATGATAGTAAAACATTTTGACTACAGCCTGTCTGAAGCCATTATGCAAATCAAATAAACCTCAATAACTCAAAAAGTCCTGAACCAATATTTGTCAAATTTAAACTCATCCATTTCTGCTCTGAGTAAAATGACTAATTAAATCTTCTGTCATTTTTAATGGTTAGTTTTTGAGACATTTGGAATTTACAAAACTGAACTGACTGAAGTTATGATGCATACACAAATATAAGCTTAAGACCACTGAAATCTAATAAAAACTATTTTTTCTTTTTGTCCTAATATACGTTGAAACAGGGATAAAGGGAAGGATCTAACAACTGGTGAAAAGCAAAAAATAACAAACTTATTGAGTGAGGGAATAACTACATTGGAGATATCAAAGAAACTTTGCAGAGATCATTGAATGATAAAGAAGGCTGTTGAAAATATGTTGAGAACTTGAAGCAAAGGAAAAGGCTTTAAGAACTTGCTTCCTCACGATGTAAGTAAACTAAAGTGAGTTATCGTGAAACAACCACTTTTGACCAGCACTCAGGTCTTTGAAAAGGCTGGAATTGAGGGAGTCAGGAAGGTCAAAAGATGTAGAATACTTTGGGAGCTGTAAAAAAATCTCCTAGGCAAACTCCTCTCATTAAAAGCAAATATTTTAAAGCATCAAAATTGGGCCAAGAAATACATGAAAATTGACTTTTTTAAAAATTTTCATGGATGAATCTCAAGTGACATTTGATGGACCTAATGGATGGCTCAAAAGATGGATTTTAACTAATTCAGACATGCCTGTGGCTAAAAGAAAGCAACAAACAGGTGATAGTATTATGATATTGTTATGGGACCTTACTCATAATAACATAATGAACTATTCCATATGTAATAAATACTGCACCTCAAGAGGAAGCAGGGAGTTCAGTCTGAAGTCTGGAGTGAAGTCCGTCAGGAGTCTGTCAGTTAGTCAGAGCGAGCGAGTCAGTCAGTTGAGTCAGAGGCAGACTGAAAATGAGTCGCATTCAGACAATTACTATTAAACCTGATTGTTCGTACTAACACTTTCTACCTCTCTGTATATATTCCTGTTTGTAATATATCTGTGTTATTCCATATATGTGTTCGAGTTCTTCTTTATTGGTTCTACCTTGGACTATCACCGTAGTACAAGGAACCGGACCATAACAAATATGGGCTGGAATTGTCAACCAAACCATTATTGGACCATTCAAAGTCGATGAAGGAGATAAAGTGAACAGTGCTAACTATTGCAATTTTATGAACAAGACTTTCTGTGCATGGTACAAGTCCCAGTCTCACAGTTTCAAAGTGAAGTGTATAACAATGCTTCTTCTCATGAATTATTTGAGCATAAAAGATTTACAAGAGAGAAGATAATGGAATGGCCACCATTAAGTCCTGATTGGAATCCTATTGAAAATTTATGGTCAATTGTGAAGATGAAATTATATGAAGGTGGCAAATAATATAACAGCTAAGCAGACCTTTTGCAATTAAAACTACCATGTTGGAAATTGAACCTGCTGAAGTAAAAAAAAAAAATAACAAAATCAATAGATAATAGATTACTGGCTGTCACAGCAAATATAAGAATAATGATGTTAAGAAGGACTCAGCAATGTGTGACATGTATAACCAGACCTTTCATCCAGCAACTGTTCACAATAGATAGAAAACTATAATCAGGCCTTGAAATGGAAGAACATTATATCAGTGTGTTTGGCTAGAAAATATCAAGCAGGTAATAAACAGGTTAAGCATTAACATTCTAGAAGTGTACAAAATTAGGTGGGAAAATAATGGGGACTTCATAAGCAACGAACACAAGAATGAAATAAATGAATACTGAAATTTTATATAGAAAATCTGGCAACTCTAGAAACAAGAAAAGGGGGTGCTAAGAAATTAATAAAAATGACAGTGGTTATGACTGGACATCTGCAATAAATTGGTAGGAATGGAAAAATGGTAGGAAAGAAAAAGAAAGGAAAAAAAGGTATCTTTTATAACAAAATGTTTTATACTCCTACCTCATATTCTGTCTATTGCTTTTCTCATTCACATTGTCTTTTGTATTCTTTGTAGCTGAAGAGACATTTTTTTTTTTACTCCATTTAATGTTATTTTCTCTTGTTCGTTATTCTCTTATGAAAGCAGAAAATGCTTGAGTCGGTTCTCATTTATCCAATGAAATCAATATTATAGAGCCAATAAAAATAACACATTTTCATTAGAAGGCTTGCCCTCTCTACAAATGGAGAATTGGTGTTGGGGGAGAAGTTGAGGTATAGGTGGAGCCCTTGTTAGCCTTTACTTGGAAAATTAGAAAAATAGAATCATTTTATCTGACCAATAATTCCTTGGTTTTTATTTGTCTTTTCTTGTAATTGCATGATATTCTTTATTTCAGTTTGCTATTTTTCTACAGTTTTCTTTTTTCTTAATGATCACCACCCCCCGCCTGATTTTTTGAATAAATTCTTTTTTTCTCATTTTTATACTCTTCTTCATCATTTTCATCGTGTCAATTCATTTTCATTCTCGTCATTTCGTTGTTGATTTTATTTTCATTCCCTTTTCCTTTCACAAATTTCTTTCTCCACAATTCAATTTTTAATAATGTTTTTTTTTTCTGCAATTTCTTTCACATCCTTTTCTTTCTGATTAATTTTTCTTAATGTTCTTTCCTTTTCTCCTAATATTCTCTCCTCCTATTCAGACTATTACTCTGTCTTCTTCATTCTCCCTCAAAATTTTATATTCTTAATGTTATGGTCCAGGTTAGGACCAAGGAAGAGCAACATGAACACAAGAGTAAAAATAACGAAGGTATATTACACAAAATAATAATACAAGATGTGGAAGGTGTTAGTATGACTGTCAGTCTGGTTTGGAGTGAACTGCTATCGGCTTGATTCGTCCCTCTCTCTTGAGAGGTGTAGTATACATAGTGTTAGGAAGAGTTCATTCTGTAGTTATAGGTAAGGATCCATTACACTTAATGAGTTAGAAAACAAGAACATGTTTTCTCACTGTTGTGTCAGAAACCTACCACCCCTCTTGAAGATGAACTTGTCTGCATCTGTGAACAAAGACTTTAAATAGTGGCATGTCAGTTGACATGGAAAAGACAGATAGACAGAGAAGTTCTTAGCTGAGCTAGTTATTGACTGCTCAGGCGATTTCTGTACCTTTTTACCAACCTATTAAAACCCTTTTTATTGTTATGTGTTATTTGGCATTTGTCTCTGCTAACCCCAAATTAACATCATAACACTCACAAAATTTATTTAACCTGATCAACATAAAGTTCCTAAGAAAACAAGAACACCTAAGATTTGTTATCAGTAGACATAATCTTAACAACGTACACACACAGATAATACTGTGTTGTTGGTAGACTCAAAAGGTAAATGTTGTGGATTCCGAGATGAAATTCGGTCTCCAATGAATGACAAATGCAGGAATGAAATATAACAAATAAATGTATTTACACAATAATACAATTGGTAATATGGTTAGTAAATCCAGAAACACAGTTAGTAGCAATAATAATATATATACACAGTCTGGTAAATCCAGTCTCGCAGTAGGACTTCCTTAGAGTCTACGTGCTTGCAACTGTGACTTCTACAAGCAGTTACCTCACACTATTACTCTACCTCCAACTCAATCACAATCTCTGCTCTCTCTGTCTACTCTGACTGACTCTGGGTATTTAACGGCAGCAGTCCAAGTACACACTGGTCAAGTCCACTTGTATGAAAAAGGGGTGGACCCCATAACAGTAAATTGAATGCATTACACAAGATAATAATGGAAAGCAAGAAGAAAGGAATATTTAATGTAAGAAAACAGAATGCATGATTGCAGAGAATACAAGCTATGTATAGAAGATGTTAAAATTAAATAAGTAAAATAACTTTATTATTTGGATAGTATACTAACAGATGATGGCTAGTGTAACATTGAGATCCAAATGGTAACAGTAATATTATTATAAGGAAAACATTTATCATTTGTCAACTGAGGAGCTCTTACTACTTTCAGTTGAAATTTATAAGTCTTTCTCTTAAAATAATTTTTCAAGAAAATAAGTTCCTCAAGTCCAATAGCTGTTATCACTCTTTCCATTATTGATGGGGGTTTCCTTCCTAACATATATGAAATAGTGTGGAATGTCAATTTTGAGATGTCAATGGACATTCATTGCAACTTTTGTGATGTCAACAAATACTCGTTGTCATTTTTGTAATGCTTGTTGTAGTAGAGACTTTGTAATCGCAGATACAACTATTGTAATGCTGTCGAGCAATACTGATGTCAGATGTCTTCGAATATCACTAGCACTAATAGTACTTGCTTGATAATACATACTCGAAAAGTAACTACCAAATAGTGATCAGTATAGAGAAATAGTATAAAGAATAGCGATCCATATAGTAATAGAGGATAGAATAGAAAGAGTGATCATTTAGACGTAACACTAATTCCAATATATATATTTCCTTTACTATCACATGATCTACTTATTCAAAATAGGATCTCCTGTGTTTGCTCTCTGGTGATCTGTGTTCAAACTCCAGTGTCGGTAGTGATATTTTATTCCTATATGACTGTCAACATATTGATTATATCATTATTTTCTCTTTGAGTTACATGTGATATCCATTTTAGTTGTAGCTGATGTTGAAATTTCACAGCTAATGTCATTTCCATTATCTAGTACAGTTCTTTGTTTGTGATTTTATAGTGCCAGCCCACAAGGTTCAAAATGTGCTCTTTGGCAAGACCCACAGGCCTCACTCACTCAATGCCATTTTTAGCCATTGATCTTAAAAAGCAGTTGTATACAGTTGACAGTTTAGATATTTCTGAACGTGTTTGGTGCCATACATAGAATCCATATGAAAGTCTCGATCTGATGATTCTATTTAAGAACATAACTCAAGTTTTCAGGTTAATGTTTTGGTTTTATATCAATTGACACTGTTGTCGATTATTTGTGGTTTTAGGAAGATCTCCCTCCAGTGCAGTCTATTCTATGTTCAATTTCCTTATTTCCTATGCTAAATTCATTATAACTGATCCACACACCAACATATTTAAAGTGTTTAATATTTGCTAAATCCACCTCCTGAATTTTTATAATGGATTCAGGGTAGGTGTCATCCCTTCTTTCATCCCAATTCCAGATCATAGTTTCTGTTTTGGAAAGGTTTATCTTGAATCCTATTACTTGAAATACTTTGTAGAGGACGTTGATTTCCTGTTCAAGATCATTGTTATCTCAATTATGAATACCTATCATTGGTATAGTCTCCCACATCTTCAGTACATTGGCCTCGGGAGGAAAAGCAGGATTGTTGTCTTCTATTGATAGTTTCATTTAGGATGTGGTATGGAATGTTTAAATGATCAGTGCCCATCTCTTCACATCTATGTTTGTAAATGCATTGTCGAGGAAAAGATTATATAGATTGTGTAAAGTTCCTAAAAGAACAAGAAGAACCAGGAATTATTATCAGTAGATATAATCTTAACAACACAAAATGTACAAATGATACTGTATTGTTGGAAGACTTGGAAGATAAATTGATGGTATTAGACAAGTTGAAAATAGAAAGCAAGAAAAAAGGACTATTTAATGTTAGAGGACAGAACACAGGATTGCAGAAAGTACAAGCTATGTATTGAAAATGTTAAGATCAAACCGGTAAAGCAATTTAACTATCTGGGTGACATACTAACAGATGATAGATAATGTGACACTGAGATCTGAAGGCAGGAATTGTGAAAAATGTCTTCCGGAAACTAAGCAAAATATTAAGAGACAGGAAATATTTATTAGAAATAAAGAGAAATGTGCTGAATGTCTATTTTTTAAAAATTTTTTATAATCCTTTCACCCTAAGTAAGATGAGAAGGCCACTAGTATGCAGGGGGTTACAGAGAGTGAAAGTGAAGGAAAGGACTGATAATAGGGAGGATTGAGGAAAGGACAAAAGATGAAGAGGATTCAAGAAGATAGAAGATGAAGAATTTAAATTTTTAAAGATTGTAGTTATCAGGGTAGGAAGTAAGTGGAAGGGAGTTCACAGGTGGGAAGTGTGAGAAAAGAAACTGTTGGAGTCGAAGTGGCAGTTGCATTTAGTTATTTCAACAGTAAAAGAGTGGGACCTAGATGCCAATCTAGTAGCATGCTTAAATTCATGTCGTCAGAGTAATTGCCATGAAAATATTTGTAGAAAAGGCAGAGGGAAGCCACGTCACATTAATGAGAATGTGACTAGAGTCGAGATGACTGATCAGGATTGATTATTTTATAGATACTTCTTTGGATTTTGTCAAGAATCTCGAGATGTATAGCCAGAACCAAACCAGATATGACAAGAGTATTCAATGTATAGATGGGTGGTAGATGGTTTATATCTTTCCTTCTGTATGGCAGTGAATGCTAGACAATCAAATGAAGATGGATACTGAGAATATTATTAACTGAACAGGAGAGCAACAATGACGTTTTAAGGAAAATAAGAACAGTAAGCACACTTATAATTACAAATGAAAAGAGAGAGTTGAAATTTCTGGACAAAATGATGAAAGGGGTTTGGAGAATTTAATACTCACAGGACATAATGATAGCAAGAGAGGCAGACATAATGAGTTTGTGTGAATGGATGGCAGATTGAGGACATCGAGTGATGATAAAGAGTTTAAAGTTGCTTAAAGCTACAAGGGACAGGAAGTTGTGGAGAACCATGATCATCTGTGTCCTAAAGAGACATGTCACATGAAAGATGGTATCATGCCTTTTCTTTTTCTTTAATATTTTCTTGACTTTTTAATTTTCGCTATGCATTTTTCTTTCTTTCTTATATTTTTTATCTTCATCTTTTTACCATTTTGTTTTTATTCAACTTTTTCTCTTTGCATATTTTTTATTTCATAGTCATATTTTTTCTTTCTTTTCATTCTTCTTTCACTTTTTCATTCTTTATTTTTCTTCAATACTATTTCTTCATTCCAGTTCTTCATTGTCTTTTCTTTCTTTGATTTATTCTTTCTTTTTATTGTTCCTCTTTATGTTCTATTTCTCCTTTCATTCTAATTTCTGCACCAATTTTCTTCTTTTTTTTTTTTTTAAATGTATTTCTATAAGTGGACTTTAATTTATTTTCTCTGTAACATATAAAATAAATTCCACTTTTATGTTTCATTTGCAGTAGTTTTCTTTCTTTCCCGTATTCATTACAGTCAAGAATTTAGAAATGGTTTCGAAAACACAGACTGATTATAGTTGCAGTGATGTTTTTGACTGCAAAAAATGATCATATTTTGTATTTATTTTGTATTCATTTTGTGAGCTTTGATCAACTGATGTAAAATTTTAAAAACAGATGCAATTCATAAGTGCAATTGCACAATTTTATAAATTTTACAGATACATTTAGAAATAAAAGTTCTCAGTTCTATGAAATTTATGCACACACATATGAAACTCATGCACACACATATATGCTCATAATTATACAGTTCTATAAAACACATATACACATAAATACAGATACAAAATCTTGTAAAATTCATGCAAGTACACACACACACACAGATGTATATACAAATTTACTAAATTGAGATTATTTCAAAATAAGGCAGTAGTGGTTGTTTACCCAGTGAGTATTGTGATCACTATACTGGTTAGTGGACTACAAAAGCTTCCTAATCATAGGCTATAGTCATCACAAATGCAAAGGCAAACTTCAATAGTTGTTTCTTTCCAAGCTCATATCAATGATCATTATTTATCTATCTCTTTCCATATATGTCTATCTCAATCTGTTCATATCTATCTATCTATCTATCTATCTATCTATCTATCTATCTATCTATCTATCTATCTCTTTCCATATATATCTATCTATCTAGCTAGCTATGTCTACCTCTATCTTTTCATATCTATCTATTTCTGTCTGTGTCAATATTTTCATATCTATCTATCTATCTATCTATCTATCTATCTATCTATCTATCTATCTATTTCTGTCTGTTTCAGTCTTTTCATATATATCTATACATACATGCAGCAATGCATCATTACATATAAATCTTTTGCATTCTTGTTAATTGATATTTTCTTGTCAGGTAATTTTTAATCACTTTTAACTGTAAAACTAATAAAGATAGGATAAAAATAGATTGATCTAATGTAATAAAAAAAATTAAATAAAATAAGAATCTGAAAAAGTAATCCTGCACATTTTGATCTCTTAACAGTGCAGTGCAAAGTCCAACTTCATATTTGATGTTACAGTGTTTGATTTATTTGGAAAAGGTAATAGAATAATATGTTAATATCATTTGAATAATAATTATTTGGGAAATTAGAATAATAGAATTAGAATAAAAATTATTTTTTTATTTATATTTTTTATTTTTTTAATCATTTCACCCCAAGCAAGGTGATAATGCCCCTAAGACACAAGTGGGTTACTAGGAGTGAAAAAGAATGAGAAAGCTTTATTGAAGAGAAAGGAGAATGATGTAACAGGGTTCAGGAAGGTGGATGATAGAAATTGGCATTGGATTTAAATTTTTGAAGATCGTAGGCGGCAAGGAAGTTAGAAACAGGAAGTTAGTTCTAAAGGGAAGAAATGCAAGAAAAGGAACTATTAGAATAGAACATATGGTTGCATCTAGATAGTTCAACAGTAAAATAGTGAGACTGAATTACCAATCTAGTAGTATACTTAAATTAATGCAGTCAAGGCATGAAGGAAGAAAGCTTATCAAAACAATTTCCTTGAAAACATTTGTAGAAAAGAAAGAGGAAATCTATGTCATGGTAGTGGGAAAGTGATGACAGATCAAGATTGATTACATTACAAACACTTCTTTGAATTTTATCAAGAATATTGAGATATATAGTAGGAGAACCAGACCAGATATGGCAGCAGTATCCAACGCATGGATGAATCGCGGATTTATAAATGTGCAAGATGGATTCCTATGAGAAAAAATGTCTGGTATGACACAGTGAACCAACTTTCCTAGCAGCAGGCCTAGCAATTGATTTTTTTTTTTTAAGCATTTCACCCCAAGCAAGGCGGGAAGCCACTAGGACGCAAGGGGTTACAGAAGATTTGGAGCAAGATCAGATAGAAGTGATAGAGGAAAGGATGAGGAGAAGGGTAGTGGATAGATCAAGGCAACTGGAGATGTCGATTGACATTACATTTGAATAGTTGGAGATTATAGCTCTCAGGGAAACTGGAATAGGGAAGGGAGTTCCACAGGCGAGAGGTGCGAGACATGAAGCTATTGGAGTAGAAGAGGTGGCTACATTTAGGAGTTTTGACAGTGAAACGGTGAGAGCGTGATGCCAGCCTCATAGAGCGCTTGAACTCATGAAGTCTGGGAACCAGCAAATGCAGCTCCTCGGAGCAATTGCCATGAAAGTATTTGTAAAAAAGACAGAGAGAGGCGAGGATATATATTATAATAATATCATTAAAAATGGGAAATATTTTATAATAATAGAATAATATCATTCAAATAATTACTTAGGAATGATATTAGAATAATATCATTAGAATAATTATCAGGGAAATATTTTATAATAGAATAATATCATTCAAATAATTATTTAGAAATGATATTAGAATAATGATTATTTGGAAAGGATATTAGTATAGAATAATTTAATTCAAATTATGATGAAGTACAAACAATAGCCGCTGTCAAAAAACTAAGAACCATTTGGAAAGACAAAATTGTCTGCCAGGAATCAAAGATCAAACAATTGTATTTGTTGGTTTTCCTGTATACCTGTGTTTCTTGGATATTCACAGCAGAATTCTTAGAAGGAATCCCAGCATTAGAAATGAGATACTACAGAACAATCCTCGGCTCCTCCTACAGAGACTGCATCACAAATGGCACAGTCCAAGACATTATCAAACAAAAAAAAAGAAGCTCATTGGCTGACATCATAACCACCATCAAGAAGAGGAAATTGATATTGTACAGCACCAGCAATTATTCCACTGCAATCCTACAAGTTAAGACTTAAGAAAGAAAGGATGAGACCTACCCTGAATCCATTATAAAAAATCAGGAGGTGGATTTAGCAAATATTAAACACTTTAAATATGTTGGTGTATGGATCAGTTATAACAAATTTAGCATAGGAATGGGGAAGAGGCAGATGAGAGGAAAAATATGTTGAAAACATCACTGAACTGACTGGAGGATCATTCCCAGATACTCAGACACTGGCATGCAACTGAAATATGTAAAGGGAGTTTATCAAATGATCAGCTGCTAAGTGAGCCTACAACCATGCCAGATCATGTGACTGATGATGATTAGAATAATCCAGAAAATATTAGGAGAAAACCACCTGCAAAAGGGCATAAAACAAAGATGCATCTTCTCACCAGATTTACTTAATCTACACTGTGAGGTAATCCTAAGATAACAAGAAGTCTTCGCAGGATATATTATCAGTTGGCAAAATTGTAACAGCATAACATATGCAGGTGACACTGTATTGATGGCTGATTCAGCAAGAAAACAAGAACAAGATGGTAAACGAAAGCAGGAAGAAAGGACTAACCATTAATTATAAATCTATAGAATATGTAGTTGTCAGCAAGGGGAACAACCCATTATGTGAACTTTAATATTTATTCAAATTTATGACATGTATGTTATAAAATAACTACAAAAGTTGCAATTTTGTTTCGACACTTCTGGTGTCTTATCAAATGATGATGTTGAATGGAAAATAAATGATTTATTGATTATTATCTTATCTTATTCTTATAATTTGCATATGTTATAAATTTGAATAAATATTATTAGCTGTCAGCAAGGGGAACAACCCATTATGTGAACTTTGAATTGGAGATGCCAAAATCAAGTTGCGGAGAACCATGATCACCCATATCCATATTCTGAGTGGATATGGTATCTGAAAGAAACGGTAGACTTCCTACATAGCAGTGAATGGTATATAATTTCATTACAAATTGATGTGAAAGAGATATGATTTTTACTGATGAATGCTGAGAATGCTTTTGATTATGCGAGAAACAAAACTACTACTACTATTATACTATATTTTAATGTATTTAAAAACTATAGCAATAAAACAAAAGTGGTAGAAAGTTGAATGAAGTCATTCAAGATAAAAAATTTAAATGCAAAATGCATGTATCTATATGTCCATGTATATATCCTGCTTTCTCTCCTGAGATCAATGAATAGGTTAGACACTCTTTGATTTATCTGCCATGATATATCAATCTGAAAATACATACTTTACATCATTAACTAATTCATCCACTAAGGGATATAAATTAGACATAAACAAGAGTGCTCAGTATCTTAACCCAGATTATTATTGCTCAATGTAAAATTGTAACCAGCATTTATAGTATTTCATCTCCCTGCCCTCACATGTAAGGTGCATTCAAAAAGTATCCCAGTTTATTGCCGTTTGTTTTTTTGGTTTCACACTGTCATGCTGTGTCAGTTCTTGGTTGTTACAGATAAAGTACAGACATGTTTTGCATGTTTGTTGGATCTTTGTTTTCAGGCAAGATGACCAAATGCATTTAATGGAAATCAGGGTAGCCAAGTTCCAATTTCAGTCAGGTTTGTTATATTCACTTATGTAGAAATCCTCTTGGGAAAAGTATGAAATCCACCTATTCTCTCCCCAACTATGGGTTAATTAATGGAACCTGTATCCGTAAGTTATTATTATCTCAAAGAAATTCTTTCAATCAATATATATATATATATATATATGGGGAGAGAGAGAGAGAGATACTAACCAATAAAACAGCACAAAGAGACTAGATCCAAATTGTTAATCAAATTTCATGCAGTACAATGAATAGTGGATGTTACAGTGGGCATTATCAAACTGTTTGAGGATTACCAACAGCAGCAACACTTAAAATGGATAGCACATGTAACTCAAAGAGAAAATAAATGACATAATCAAAATTTCCAATCTGTATATGTCCTGGTAGGTCACATGGTGGGTATAAGGAAAATAGTTATTTCTCTGTGATCATAGTCTTAACTGCAAATTCTGAACCAGGGTATTTCCAGGGGTATTTGGCCTTATTTTAATTTTTATTTGTATACATTTTGCATC